TAGGGCACATCAGTGAGAGGCCGCCGTAACGCAAACCGCCCCCCCCCCAAAAAAAAAAAAGACACACGCACCCCAATGTTCATTGGAGCTCTATTTACAATAGCCAGGACATTGAAGCAACATTAAGTGTCCATTGACAGATGAATGGATAAAAAAGATGTGGCACATATATATAATGGAATACTACTCAGCCACAGAAAGAAATGAAATTGAGTCATTTGTAGAGATGTGGATGGACCTAGAGTCTGTCATACAGAGTGAAGTAAGTCAGAAAGAGAAAAACAAATATATATTAACGCATATATGTGGAATCTAGAAAAATGGTACAGATGCACCTATTTACAGAGCAGGAATAGAAAGGCAGATGTAGAGAACAGATGTGTGGACAAGGGGGTGGGGAAGGGGAGGGTGGGATGAATTGGAAGATTAGGTTTGACATAAATACACTATCATGTGTAAAATAGATAGCTAGTGGGAACCTGCTGTATAGTACAGGCAGCTCGGCTCGGTGCTCTGTGATGGCCTACTTGGGTGGGATGCGGGGGGAGGGAGGTCCAAGAGGGAGGGGATGTGTGTATGCGTATGGCTAATTCACTTCACTGTGCAGCAGAAACTAACACAACATTGTAAAGCAATTATACTCCAATCAAAAACAAAACAAAACAAAACCCTGCATGTCTGTCTCCACTCCATCCCTTTCCCTTTTCTCAGAGGTAACCACTACCCTGAATATTACATTTATCATTTCCTTTTCTTTTTAATCTGACCACGCATGTCTTTATCTCCGAACCATATATTGTTTAATTTTGCATGTTTGTGAGCTTTAGGTAAATAGAATTATTCTGTATTTTTCCAAGATTCGCTTTTTCATTCAGCATTTTCGTTGCTATAGTTTCCATTGCATGAATCAACCAAAAACTCCACTTTTGTTGGCCATAAAGACTGTTTCCAGTTTTTTGCTAGTTACAAAGTGCTATTATGAATATTCTTTTTTTTTTTTTTTTTAATATTCTTGTATGTGTATCCTGATGCAGTCAGTGAGTTCTCCTAGATTTAACTAGGAGAGGTTTGGTGGGTCACAGTGATGCATGTCTTAAGCTTTACTAGACGATGCCGAATTGTTTTCCAAGGTGATTGTATCAGTCATAACAATTTGCAATCCCAACAGTAATGTTTCAATTGTTAGACATCTTCACCGATACATGATGCTTACACATTTTTATTTTTTGCAAATCTGTAAAGCAGTATCTCACTGGTTTAACATGCATTTCTGGGATTTCTAATGATATTGAACATCATGTTATAAGTTTATTGGCCATCTCCACTCTCTCTTTTGAAAAGTGCCTATTTGAGTCATTTGCCCATGTTTCTTCTATTGATTTATCTTTTTCTCCCTAATTTGTAAGAGTTCTTTATATGTCCTGGGCATTAATCGTTTGTCAGTTTAACAAATCCTTTGTTAATCTTGAACATGTCTTATCTCTCTAGCTAAACTGTTAGTCCTGGAGGTTGAGGATAGGGATAGAGAGTACAGAAAAATAAATTAGACCAGTAAGGATCCTTTAGGATTACAACTTCCTATTTCCCTTATACCTTTCTCCACATGGGTCAAAGTGCTGGAGGCACAGAGCATACCCTTCAGCGAAGTGAAGATTTTTCAAAAGCCTGGGAGGGAAGTTTACAAGCTGGCTTTGTTTTGCTTTCTTTTTCTTTTTCATTTATTTTTTTGCTCCAAGTATTTTATTTTTTTATTGGGGTATAGTTGTTTTACAATGTTGTGTTAGTTTCTACTGTACATTGAAGTTCCCTGTGCTAAACAGCAGGTTCTTGTTAGTTATCTATTTTATACATATTAATGTATATATGTCAATCCCAGTCTCCCAATTCATCCCACTGTCTTGCTTTCTTTTTAAAGAACCAATCACAACAAGGCAGATAAAGAATGTTCAGTTGTCAGACTTTGATGCATTCAGATGAAGGCGTGGACGCCTGGAGGTGAACTCGCTGCACTCTCTTTGGTGGCTGGTGCGCGGGTTTCTTTTGTCCCCAGGTGTTGCCTTGTGAGCTCTTACACGTGCGCTAAGTCTCTCCAGCTTCGCCGGAAGCTCTCTGAACCGACGGCCAGATTCCATTGGTTTAAGTCTCTCCAGGCCTGGCACTCAGCCAAGCGCTCAGTTTCTTTACAAATTTACCTACAAGGCCACAGAAATGCACGGTTCCGCCGCTGTACTAGGAATTACGGTCGGGAAGGCGGGAAAGCGCAGTGCACCCGAAGGGTCTCCTGCCTCTCTCCCGCGCGCTGAAGGAATCTCTGGAGAACGTGTCTTGGGGCCGGGAAGTGGGGATCCGCTAAACATTTTAGAGGCCTTCCGCGGGTGGGGTGGGCAGGAGCTTGGGAGGCCTCAGTGGGGTAGCCGTTTGCACCCTGCTCTGCTTCACGGGGAGGGGGCGGGGACCAGGAGGACTTTGGAACCTGTTACCGAAGGTGTTGCAGTAACAGGGCGCAAAGTCAACACGCGCGCAGGGCGCCACGGCCCGCCGCAGCCGGCAGAGCCCGGCGGGTCACCCCGGTCTCCGGTCCGGGGCTGGGGGAGCGACACCCCGCCCTCCCCCGCGCCCAACACAGATGCCGCCTCGCCTCTGGACGACCCGCGGAAGCGGCGGCGGAAACCAAGGGTCTCAGGGCGCTGCCCTAGCGCTGGGGGCGGGTCTCGAATCGCCGAGCTCCGGGGCGTGTCACGGGCGCCAGCTCCTGATTGGCCGGCCGAGGCGGTAACGGGCCAGAAGCTGCTGGATTGGTGCAGCCGGAGGCCAGAGCAGGAGTAACTGGACTCCAGGTGGCCGGTCGCAGTCCCGGAGCCCGAGGGGCTGGCGTCTGCGCCGGGCCCAAAGTCTAGGGAGAGATCCTGACCGGGACGCGCGCACCATGCCCTACCTGCTCATTAGCACCCAGATCCGCATGGTGAGTACCCGCTGGCCATCCCTGGGAGTTGGCGTTCGGCCCGGGTCAGGGGTTGGGGGGCGCTGCAGACCGCATCTCGGCGCCTCCCTCCCGGGCGACGCCCGCGCGTGGCCGGACCCGGAAGCCGCCCGGAACACGCCCCCCTGGGCGGCCGGGAGGGAGGCTGGGTCTTGGACTCAGCCTGGATCCAGGGACTCTGAGAGCTCTGGCGGCCCGGCGACTCCAGCGCCGCGAAGGGGGCCAGATGAGTGCGTCCCCACCACCCAGCGAGCTCCGGGCGCCTGTGGCTCCGGTCCTACCTGCCTGCGGGAGGTCGGGAGCCTTCGGGAGGGACCCAGGAAGTCCTGGTCTCACATGTGCAGCACCCACTGCCCCACACAGCCACTCTGCCAGGGAGTGGGGAGTGGGAGTGGACTAACCTGAGGGAGAGAGGTTTGTTAAAGGATGTGCTAAGACGCCAAGACCCCTGTGCCGAGTGGCCCACTAGCTGCACCCTTAGGCACTTCTAAGGTCTCCTGAGACCTTAGAAAAGGAAGAGAAGAAAGAACCTGAGACAGCCCATGGGGTTAGAGATGGGAGAACACCATTCAACAGTCAGAAACCACGCCCCTTTCCCTGGGCGCAGTTTCCTCTGCAAAAAGAAGGTGCTGGTTGCTCCATGAGTCCCCATTTGGCTTCAGAATAATATGACCGGGTCCCCAACCTGGGTAGCAGGATGCTCCTCTGCCCCTTCCCACTCACCAGTGCTTGGGTGATCCATCAGAGGGTACACAGCTCCCTTGGGATGCAGGAAATAACAGATGGGCTCACCACTGGGCAGGAGAGGTCTCGGCAGTGCCACAGGGCAGTGGTTTAAGAACCATTCAGCTGTGCAGTTGTTAAAATGTAGACTCCTGGACCCCTTCCCAGACCTCCGGAAGCACTCTGGAAGCCTGGGGCTTGGGAATTCAGTGCTCCTCAAGCAATTAAAAAAAATAAGTTTCATTGATATATTATAATACATATCACCACAGAATTCACCAAAGTGTAGAATTCAATGATGATGGGGTTTTTGTTTTTGTTTTTTAGCTTGCTCAGAGTTGTGCATCCATCACCATAGGCAATTTTAAAACATTTCTATCACCTTAAAAAGAAACCCTGTACCCATACCCTGTCCTTAGCAGTCACTCCTCATTTCCCCCAGGCCCCTCAGCCCTAGGTAACGACCCGTCTACTTTTCGTTGTAATATGTGGTCTTTGGCCTCTTTCACTTACGTGATATCGTAGCACACATCAATACTCGTTCCTTTTTATTGTCAAATAAAATTCCATTGAATGGCTATACCACATTTTATTTATCCACTGATCAGTTGACAAACATTTAGGTTGTTTCCACTTTCTGGTTATTATGAATAATGCTACTGTGAACATTCGTGTACAAGTTTTTGTGTGGACATATGTTCTTATTTCTCTGTTCTCCAGGTTATTCTGATACACAGATATAGGTGTTGGTGCCTGGCGTGAAGGTGCCAGTAGTTGGGCATTGCCCAGCCCGGCCTAGAGGGTGCAGGGAGGCCCCACATGGCTCACTGATCACTGATGGACTCCACCCCTTCCCAGCTTGTGTTTAGCCCCCAAGATTCCTTTCCTCTCCCTCCAGTCTTTAACTGAAGTGGGCTCAGAGCCAGCAGGCGGGGGAGGAAGGAGAGGTGAGACAGCTCACCTCTACCTGGCAGCCAGCCAAGCAGCTGCTGTGACTTACCTTGCAGGAGGTGGGCCCCACCATGGTGGGCGATGAGCACTCCGATCCAGAGCTGATGCGGCATCTGGGGGCCTCAAAAAGAAGTGTCCTGGGAAACAATTTGTAAGTAGTAGCATTCCTAAGGATCTTCTCCTTGCCAGCCCCTAGACCCGTCTCTGTTCCTTTTACACAACAGGACAATGCCACTGCCTAGCCTCAGGACCCCTCTGCCTGCATCCTGGGGATCTGTCCTCTGTAGGCTTTCTCTGAGAGCTTTCCCACTGGCCCTCCCTTCACAAGGGAGCCCCTGGACAAAGTCCCAGGACAGAGTCCGGTTCTCTGAGTATAGGACTCTGCAAGTGGACTGCTCCTTGCCCTGCCCTCTCATCTCTAAACTGGATCCCATCAAGGCAAAGACAAGCACAGAGAAAGGCTTCTGTCTTGAAGAGATGGCTAAGTAACAAAGCTCAGCCCTAGAAACAGGGAGAAGGGAGCCTGGGTCCTGCTTCCAGTTCAGCTGCTGCCTGGGGACTTAGCCACTTCCCTTGGCATCCTTCACACCAGCCCCAAGTCTAAACAGTGATTCATGCTTCCTTTTCTGCCCTTCACCCCTTCCTGCCATAGGCAGGGAGAACTCTGGCTACACAGGCTCAAACTCCTGAGAAGGGTCACCAGAGTGCACTCCAG